ACCAAGGCCGTGACTAAGGTGAGGGGCCGGGGAGGCCGGGATTCGGGGCCCGGCCGCGCGCTTGCGCCCATGTGCCCGCCCCCGCCGGCCGCCCGCCCGGGGAAGCGTCCGGGAGGGGCCGGCCAGGGGGCGGACGGGCGCGGAGGTTGGCCATGTGACGGGGGCTTCCCACGCCGGGCCGGCGCGTCTCTCCCCGCGGGACCCCCCAGCCCGCTTCCGCCCCGCCCCTCCGCCTCGTGTCGCCGGCAGGGACCGAGACCCAGTCGGCGGGATCCTGGACGGGTAATGGGTCTGGGTCCGAAGTAGCCGGCCCAGAGCTGCACTTACCGAGTGACGTATTCTCTGAGTAATTTGGGGTTCTGACTTCAGCCCGGCAGTCTGAGCAGAATTTTCTAACAGTCGCTTTTGTGGTAGCTTTAATTGGCATGGCTTGGCCTCTAAGCCCGTAACAGAATAAGTCTCATGACAACATTGTGGTAGACATTTAGTTGTGGGCTTACTATTGACTTTTTCATTCGACTTTTCCTGGTAGCTTTTAAAGTAACAGCTCTCTGGAAGGAACCCGGTGGAAGTAAGAGGGTTGGACTGCTGGGCACGTTTGTCCTCCAGCCTAGTCGGCCTCGGGATCAAACAGGGCCTTTGGCCAGAAAACGAGTCTATATTTTAGGTTCCAGACACTTGATCCCCTTTTCATAGTCTGATATTTGCCTTAGTTGTGTTTTAACAAATTGCTTTAATTGATCAAACTGTTCTACAGGATGAAGATGAGTGGAAAGAATTTGAGCAAAAAGAGGTTGATTACAGCGGCCTCAGAGTTCAGGCGATGCAAATAAGGTATGGTCTGGTTACAAATGTGTTTAGATAAGCCTTAGGATAGGTATTGTATGTTCGGTTTTTCTCTAGCCCCAAAGGTGCATCACAGTGGCCTCATGCTTTAGATATGCGTAGTAGGGCTGTAATGAGTTGTGTCTTCCTTCTGTGATGGGAGTCCTTCTATATACTGATCAAATTAGCTGCCAGCTCCAAAATCCTGTGAGAGCTTGCCTACTTATTTGAAACAGCTAAAATGAAATGGGTTTTGTGGCTTCAAAACTTTCACTTTTAACATTGTTGCATTGAACTTAGGGTTTTTGTTCGTTTGTTTCAAAAAAAAAAAAAAATAACGTGGTTTTCAGATCTCCAATAAGCAAGTTAATATGTATTTTTGTAATTGAAGTATACCTAACAGATGTACAGATTTTATTATATGTTCACACAATGAGATCAATCTGTAATCAACAGCAAGGTCAAGAAACTGAAGGTTACTCCTGCAGAGGAAACCTAAGCCCTTTTAGTCACTGCCTTCACTCCCAAGAATAACCAGTATCCTAACACTGAAGATTTATTCTCCGTAGAATTTTATAGGGATGGCATCAAGTAGTCTAAGCATGTTATTTTTAAAGCTCAAGAAAACAGGGGCGCCTAGGTGGTTCAGATGGTTAAGAGTCTGCCTTTGGCTTAGGTCATGGTCTCTGGGTCCTGGGATGGAGCCACACGTTGGGTCCCTGCTCTGCTGGAAGTCTGCTTCTCTCCCCCTGCTTGTGCTCTCTCTGTCTCTTTCTCAAATGAATAAAATAAAATCTTTAAAAAAAAGTTCAAGAAAACAGTAATTTTTTAAAAATTGGGTTGGTTGGTTTAGGGGATTTGAAATTAACATAAATCCAATCTGTGATAGTTGGTTTTATTTTTAAAGATTTTTATTCATGAGAGAGAGAGGCAGAGGGAGAAGCAGGCTCCCAAGGAGCAGGGAGCCCAATGTGGGATGCGATTCCAGGACTGTGGGATCATGACCTGAGCCGAAGGCAGACGCTCAACCATCTGAGCCACCCAGGCGCCCTGTGATAGTTGGTTTTAGATTCATGTGAATAGATGTCTTATTTTAATGGGCTCATAAAGTAGAAAAAACAGGTGAATATATGGTTCCACCGTTTTTAAGGTTAAAAACTCTTTTATTCCCAGTTTAAAGAAATAGAAGATCTAATGAACTGCCTCCAGTTCGAAGTTTGCAATTTGTATATACCAGTGACCACGTGGCACACTGGCGGAAGTTATTTTCCTTAACAGAATATTGTCTCTTTTGACAGTGGTAATATTTATGGCCTTAAGTAAGTTACTCGAAAAACCAGGGCTAATATTTTTGACAATTGTTGAATACCTCCCAGAGCAGCAGGCATTCTGTCCTAGGTTCTTTGACCTCGTTTCGTGAGCTTAACCAGAGTGAAACCTGACTGATCATGGGAGACTTTTTAGGCAATGGGGCTTCTCTGCTCTTGAGGTTCTTTTGTAGTAATGTTAAGTAGAAGTGATTTAAGTAAATTTTTTTCCCCAACAACTTCTTGAGTTTGATTGTTAGATGTTTCTGGAGAGGTGTAGTGTCGAAAATACCCCTGTGTTCTCCTTGGGCTTGACCTGTGAAAATGAAGGAGGACACGTGAAGTTCTTATCCATCCATCGGGGGTTGTAGCACTGCCAATGTGTGTGGTTCCTCTTTGGCTGTAGAATAAGGCTCTTGGTCAGCCTTTCCTGACCACAGTTTCTTAACTGCAGATTCTGAAGATCTGAGTGATAGGAAGAATAGTGTTTGGTCATGTTGAACTTACTGAGCAAGAGTAGCACTTTCTGAGGGGAAAGATTTCAGATTCACTGAATGCTAGAAATTGATTTTATTACATTATGGAGGATATTTAAACTGCCTATTTTTCTGTCATTGATTGTATATCCCATATCCATATTCAAGGTTATTTTTTCTTTCTCTGTGGCTATTCCAGAGATGATGAAACATTTCTTAAATCATTTATATCTTTCACCTTTGCCAGGGGCATAGGTAAATCTCAGCTAGTATGAGTGTTTAAGTTCTGCTTGACCTGAAACTGGACCAGCTTTTATGTTGTGTTTTTCATTATTCTTAGCATGTAGTCTTACTCCTGAATGGTCTGTGACAGATCTTCCTCTAACCTGCTAACATTGAAAAACATACCTTCAGGAAGCTGCTTCTGTGGATCCTCAATCATAGTGGAGTCTAGAGTCTGTATTTCCGTTGCCTTCACAACTCATTCAATAAAGAGGAATCTAACAGCCTTCAGGAAAGATTTGTGTGTGAGAAGGCATCTGAGGTTTAATAATAATGACTAAAATTTTCACACTATATACTGAATATCCTTGTAAACTTTGTATTAAAATGTTCTTGACAGTGAAACTCGCTAAGGTTAGGATCCCCAAGGAAAGACACTTTGTTTGGTTCATAGGAGTGGAAGTAGGTTACTCACATAAATGGGATGGAGTTGATGATGTCACGAAAACATGGACTTTGGGGAAAGACAATCCTGTGTTTTAGCCTGCTGCTTATGTGTGACCTTGGGCAAGTCACTTTACTTTTGATTGTTCTGATATGCAGAATTGAGACAACTCCTGGGATTGTTGTGAGGATTTTTGAACAGGGTATTTATAAAATACCCAGTCATTAATATTAATCATCTTCTCTATTTATTGGGTAAATTAGAATAACTTAGTCTTGGCAATTTCTGTTATTTAACCATGAGGCACCTGATTTATAATACCAAGATTTGAGGACAAGGGGTAGTGGAGGTATACCACCTACTACTATCATGACTAATGTTAGACTCTGGTGAGTCTAACTCACTGTGACCTAATAGGAGAAAATGACATGTTCAGGTTGGCATTAGTATGACCATACAAACAAATCCCTCTCAGGGTGTTAAGCGTTGCTTACAGACCTTGAATTACTGTCTTCTATAGCTTGGTCTTAATCTTAGGCAGAAGCCCTTAGGAAGGGGCAGAGAATTGAGTTAGCTTTTCTTTGAGAAGTTGGGGCGGGTGATTCTTTATGCCTTTAGGCTGTTAACCTTTTTCTACCTATGAGAGGCAACCTTGCTATCTCAGTATGAGACAAGGGAATATGAAAACTTTGGAAGTTGACTTAAAATATCTTGAAATTTTCAGCCTTATAATCTTGTTTTTTCATCCAACTTTTTGCTTTGAAAAATTAGAAACCTCAGAAAAGTTGCAAGAACAGTAAGTACCCATATACTCTTTCCTTAGATCTTCTGATCATTTTTGTCACATTTGCTTTATCTTTAGTCAGCTGCAAATACTGCATATAGCCTTAAAGTTCTTGACACTAGACCTTATAATAGGTTAAAATGCTGGACCTTTATTGAAGATTAGTGCATTTGAAAGGAAATTTTTCAGTAGCAGCAAACATACTGTATTAATGTTCTGTCACATTTACCAACTAGCTCAAGATTTCAGTGTCAAGAGTATTATAAGGGCTTGTGTCAGATTTTGTGTCTAAATTAATGGATGTATTCAAGGTCGTCATTACGTATAGACAAGTTCTTTAGAGGGGTGCCACTGGGATGGTGATAAGGGGCCTAACACTGGAGCTTAGATTGTTGGTTGAGCAGTCTAAATGGGATCTGAAGGCCTCTCTGATCTTTAAAATGGATTTTTGGGGGAAAGAAAGATTTCATTTAATATTTGGAGGTTATTAGATGTTGAGCATTTGTCATGTTTCAAGAATGAATGAACTTCTTGGAGGAGCACCTGGCTGGTTCAGTAGATGGAGCATGTGACTCAATCTCAGGGTTGTGCGTTCAAGCCCCACGTTTTGGAGCCCAGTGGTTTTTTTAGGAAGCTTCTTAAGAAATCTAGAACTTTAGGGGCACCTGGGTGGCTCAGTTGGCTAAATGTCTCCCTTGAGCTCAGGTCATGATCCCCAGCAGAGAACCTGCTGCTCCCCCTGCTGCTGCTCTCTCTCTCTCAAATAAATGTAATTTCTTTAAAAAAGAAAGAAATCTAGACCTTTAAACCCATTAGGTAGGGCTGGTTAAGTTGTTCCTTGAAGAAATCACTCCAGCATCCAAGCTGGATTCATTGTAGCAAATACTGTGTGACTACAGCGTGCCAGACATCAGGGTTGTAGAAATAACTCCTCTGCTAAACACCAGTAGATGATTTCAGTGATGGGCAGGATGCTGTGGAACACAGGAGACAGACACTTGGTCTCCCGGGAAGGGGTTGAGAAAGAGTCCTTGGAGGAACGCGATGCCATTTTGAGCTGCCAGCATAGCTCATCAGGCCGTGTCTATCCATTTTATTGTTGTAACAGTGGTTGGATAACAGGGTCAAACAATGGAGATGCCTAGCATTCTAGCAGAAACACATTTAAGTCTGGATTTTGTGTTAGCTGCTAAACTAGTGTTGGGGAAGAAGGGTTAGGATGTATATATAAACTCTCATGTAATGTCCTATGAGATAAAGAGGTAAGGGTGTTCCATTTTTATTAATAAACTGCTGCAGGATGTGTAATCCTGATCAGCCTTACTGAAAGTGAATTTCTCAAAATAGAGAAAATTTCTGTGTCATATGTTAGAGCTCTAAAGAGGATAAAATGAAGAGGCAACGTGAAGGAGTATGAGCTCTGGAGACCCAGGGATTGGCTTGCTACTTTGTAGCCCTGGGGAAGGGGCTTAAATGTCTGAGTGTCAGTTTCCTCCTGTGTACAATGGGTCTCCTGCCTGCCTTGGTGTTATTGTGAGGTTTAACTTTGTGAAGTGGTAGGACAGGGCCTGGCCTTCTAGATATTCAGTAAATATTCCCTTTTCTTAGCTTCATTCCCCTTATACCACCAGCAGTGCCTTACGGACTGTTGCATATTTAAGATTGTATACTTTAAATTGTGATAATGTATTTACAAGTAGCAGTGTAGTTTTTATTTATTATTTTTTTAAAGATTTTATTTATTTATTTGAGAGAGAATGAGAGAGAGAGCACGAGAGGGAAGAGGGTCAGAGGGAGAAGCACACTCCCTGCTGAGCAGGGAGCCCGATGCGGGACTCAATCCCGGGACTCCAGGATCATGACCTGAGCCAAAGGCAGTCGCTTAACCAACTGAGCCACCCAGGCACCCTTTATTTTTTTTTTAAAGATTTTATTTATTTGTTAGAGCGTGGGCGCAAGAGAGAGTAAGCAAGAGTACAAGCAGGGGGAGCTGCAGGCAGAGGGAGAAGCAGGCTCCCCGCTGAGCAAGGAGCCTGATGGGGGACTCGATCCCAGGACCCCGGGATCATGACCTGAGCCGAAGGCAGACGCTTAACCGACTGAGCCACTCAGGCGTCCCAGCAGTGTAGTTTTTAGAAATGTGAAATTTAGCTGATGATAAGCTATATATTCTGTTTGGGTCAAATACCAAATTTTAGCCTAATCATCTCCTGTGGAAATGACTTTTTGCAACATGTATCTTATGGCATTTAGAGATTTGACATTTTCTAGAGTGTGTAAATAAGAAAAAGTAATCTGGATGTTTAAATCATTTCTACCCTGCCCTTAGTCCAATGGCCTCTTGGCATCTCTGGGGCTTTGTTCCCACTGTTGGATGAAGGGTCTTGACTAGACAGTTTCCAATGTTTAGTTTAACTAAAACTTCAGAATCTTAAGAAACCAAAATATTAAGTTGTCTTGTTTCTATTATTACAGATACACAATCCCTTTAATTAAATCACTCATTTCTTAGTAATAGTTTGTAATTTAAAGGGATTTTTAGATTTTGTGATTTATTCATTCTTCACTTGTCTCTGAGGGTGAAGAGGTAATATAAATGTTACAGTAAAGGAACCTTCTTTTACATGGGACCATCAGTATTCTGTTAGACCAAATTGGGGCTTTTCTTTAATATTTTATTGTGAATTAGAAAAACTATATTTTTTAAGGACATTTAAAAGGTATAACAGCATTGGGGCGCCTGGGTGGCTCAGTCGTTAAGCGTCTACCTTCGGCTCAGGTCATGATCTCAGGGTCCTGGGATCAAGCCCCGCATCGGGCTCCCTGCTACTCGGGAAGCCTGCTTCTCCCTCTCCCACTCCCCCTACTTGTGTTCCCTCTCTCGCTGTGTCTCTCTCTGTCAAATAAATAAAATCTTTAAAAAAAAAAAAAGGTATAACAGCGTTAAAAATGTATGAGAATGATCCATAATCCCTTCTGCTTAGAGGTAATCAGTGTTAAAAATTTTTTGGTTTTCAGTTGATTGCTTACTACAAGCTGATAATTCCAGAGTTTAGGTATACTAATCACCATATGCCACAGTAATTTGAAGAAAAATCTATTTTAGAGTCTAGTATACATATTTGAACAACAGTGATTCAGCACATTTTGCTGAGTTAACTGTTTCACAATGATAGACTAACTGAAATTCAGCTAGCATACCTTGGGGGGTATATATATATGAGTATAAAAGTCCCATGAAGGTTCTTAAAATCTTTGTTGGGGTCTTACATCCCTGTCTGCCTAGGATTGGGTTACTGGGACATTACTAACAAATCTTACATAACTAGGTAAATAACACCCATGTTTTTACTCATGAACCAAGCAAATTGCGTGAAAGTATAATTACATTGGCATCAGTTCTCAGAAGTCGGTGACAAAAAAAATTCTTTGGAACAGTTATGTTTGGATACCACTGTTAGACTGCTGGATAAATTAGGACCTTCATATCCTTACCTGGTCATTCCACGTATAAACTTTAGAAAACAGAGTCATAGTGTTTGGTATCTATTTTTAAAAATCTATTTAAAAGAACATGTTCATGTTGTGGGTTTTTGGGATTTTGAGTTTTGTTCTCTTTTATTTTTCTCCTAATATAAAGGTAGCACCTATTTGAAAACTCAGATGGATATTAAAAAGCATGTAATAGCGGGGCACCTGGGTGGTGCAGTTACTTAAGCATCTGACTCTTGGTTTCAGCTCAGGTTGTGAGATTGAACCCCTTGGACTCCACACTCAGCATGGAATCTGCTTAATTACGATTCTCTCTCCCTCTGCTGGCCCCCCCCCCCCGCTCAAAAAAACCCATATAATAACATTTAACAGCACTTACTATGTGCCAGGCACTTTTCTTGGTGCTTTGTGTCTTTTAACTCATTTAATTTTCAAAATGGAGCTGTTATCCCCATTTTACATAAGAGGAAACTGAGGCATACAAAAGTTAAGTGTCACACGCAGAGTCTCCTGGCTATCAGTGGCAAAACCCAGATGATTTGAACCGGGAAGTCTGGTTTTAGAATCTGCTCGTAACTGTTTGCTGCATGAAGAAAATAAAATCAGGCATTCTAGCACCCAGTTACTTTTTAAAACGTTTTTTAAAAATCAAAATGTCCTTCTACTTAATATTAGGTGTATAGATTTTGTTTTAGTAAGCCATTGGCTTAACTGACATGAATATTACTTCCATGTCAGCATAGGCCTGACATTTTAAATGGCTGTACAGGATTCTATTATGTGTTAATAAAAAAGGAAAACCAAAGAGTGGCTCAGCCATATTCTCATTCTTTTTTCCTCTTGAATTATAGTCTTAAGTAAAATCATGCTATAAATGCAGACTGAGGAGGAGCTCATTCCTCTCCCCTCCCTGATTGCCACCCTAGGCCTCTATAAATTCTGGAATCAGTTCTGTTGGTGGGCACTGTCTTTGAAATTTTTCTATAAGTATCTTTAAAGGAGACCATTAGTTATTCAAGAAATTTGTCTTATAGCCGGCACTTTCCTTGTTCTAATCGAAGTGGAAGGAAAGCACCCTGAGATGTCCTTTTGCAGAAGCCAAGAGAGGCCATGATGTTCCCAGGGCCATACACGGTAGGGTGGGAGTCATCTGTACGTTGTTAAGGTCATGATCACTGATCAGGCATCAAAGGGAGAAAATGTCTAAAAAGAGTGAAAGGCCAAGGACAGCTTTAGGCAACAGCCTTATTTTTTCAGTAGGAGAGAAAAGCATGGTCAGAATGGTAAAGGAGGTTGATAGGCTGAAGTTCTAGGAAAAACCATCACTGTCATGGAACATAATTCATGGAAAGGTTGGTAGTCTGTGCCAGAGGCAGCAGCAGCAAGGGCGAATCACGGCAGAAAAGGGAGTTAGTTAGATTTGACAGGTAATTCCCTGATTCCTGACTCAAGCCAGTTCAAGAATAAAGAAATAAGAAATTGGCATAAACACTGCAGCCAGTCTTAGGATACCATTGAGGGTATCTTTCACATTTATAATTAATAAAGCCAAAGACTGAGTTTTTGTATTCTCTTTTTTAAATGGGTGACATATCTGGTGATAGGGACCAGTTCCATATATTCCCTGTGTCAAACAGTAGAGATTGGCACTAATAAAGTCTGTAGCACTGATGTTAACACTGAACACAGGCTTGTTTCTTCTATTGGAATGTGAGTTCTCATTTTGTAATATGTACTAAAGGATTAGCAAATGAAATTATACTTTTAAAAACGTTTGATCACTGAAAATACGCTTACCATGAGTGCCTGTTTGGCCACTGTGGTCCTAGAAAATCCAGGGATTACACTCTTAATCCCTCTCAAGTCCCCTTTTCTCAGGTTAGCCTGGCCTCTCTTCCTCCCTCAGTTGCGTGAGGTTCTTAGCTGGGGTCCTGCTCTTCATTGGGGCTGCTGTATGTAATCACATAGATTCATAAGCCTGTCAGGTCAGTATGGTAAATATTTCTAAATGTTTTGAGTATGTGAGGTTTGCAAAAAGGAAAGCAGAGACTATCAGACCAGGTGGTTTTCTAAACCTTTTGTAGCAATGAAATCCTTTCATATGAAGTCAGGTGGAAGTCCTGGTGTATAACAGATAACATCCCCTATTTCTTTTTTTTTTTTTTAAAGATTTTATTTGTTTTTCAGCAGAGCAAGAAAGGGAACACAAGCAGGGGGAGTGGGAGAGGGAGAAGCAGGCTTCCCGCGGAGCAAGGAGCCCGACGTGGGGCTCGATCCCAGGACCCTGGGATCATGACCTGAGCCGAAGGCAGACGCCTAAAGACTGAACCACCCACGCGCCCATTTCTGTCTCTTAAACAAGTGGGGCATTGAGGCTCTGAGGAGGTTAGGTGACTTCTCTTAGGGTCACACAGATCAGCATTGATACAACTTAGGATTTCGACTGACGATTTTCCTGGTGGTTCTGTAACTGAATTCACTTGTTTGCTTTTCCAATAGTGAAAAGGAAGAAGATGATAATGAGAAAAGAGAAGATCCAGGTGATAACTGGGAAGAAGGTGGAGGAGGTGGTAGTGGTGTAGAAAAGTCTTCAGGTCCCTGGAATAAAACAGCTCCAGTACCAGCACCTCCTGCTGCAGTAATTGGTAACCTTAATATTTCATTTTCATAAAGCTGTCTATGTATAATTTTATATACTGTTGGCATTCAACTAAATGCTTGTGGTAGAATGAGTGGTGTTCCTTTCTGTTCTTGGGAGAGACGTTTGTTTAAAGACTTTCATATCCTAAGTAATTTGGAACTTATGATATGTGCTGTTCTGTAGGCTGCTTAACTTTATATGTAAACTAACTTGCCAAACTTAATGTTTAAGTAATTTGTTTCAATTTTTGACAGTTGGCTAAGGGAAATTGTACCTGTGTTTCCACCTGTGTTTGTGTTTTTTCCCCCATTCCCCATTTTACTCTGTCTTGAAGCATGAATTCTCAGAAGGGCACATTTTATCACTCCTAAGAGTTGATAAGAAGTGGTTCTTGGGGGGGGGGGTGAAGAAATACCAGATCTTCTAGTGGGCTGTTGCCCACCAGAGGGGTAAAGTGTGTGAGCAAGTGCACAGTATATATATGGTATTAACATTTCCTGGTGGGTGGGGGCATGGTAGTTAGGAAATAGATGTCTAAAACGGTCCCTTAGAATGGAAGTGTTGAGAAAAGTTTGAGAAACATTGCGTTAATATATACCCTTTTTTTTAATGCAGAATAATATGAAGAGTAACAAATCACTCCAAATCTTACTGCCCAGAGAATAAAGATAACTAGTGTGTGTCAACATTCTTGCATCCTTTCTAGCCCTTTGCTATGTGTATTTATATGTTTTTCTATTTAACTTTTTTTTACTGCATCTGTCACTGATCCTGATGACCTACACATTGCTAACCTCAGTGTCCCAAGTCTCGGTCCTCACCCAATTTGCCCATCAGCAGCGCTTGCCGTAGTTGATCACCCCAGGACACCACAGTCTCCTGTTCCTTCCGTGGTTGGTTCTCAGTCTCCCTGGCTGGGATTTTTTTCTCTCCTGCCTCTGAGAGAGAACCTACCCCAGTGCTCAGCCCCTGCTGCTCCCCGCACCCTTCCTCACCAGGCTCCACATGCCGGCACCTCTGAAATTCACATCAGCTCAGATTTCTTCTGACCTCCAGACACATAGCTCTTAGCTGCCTAGCCAGCATCTCATCCACGTATCCCCAACATACAGTAGACCCTTAAACAACATGAGGGTGGGGCCCCGAACCCCAGTGCAGTCAAATCCCCATTTCACTTGACTACTGCAGAACTTCCCTACTGAGCGCCTACTGTGATTAGAAGCCTTACCTGTAACAGAAACATACCAATTGACACATATTTTGTACATTTATGCTACTATATTCTTAGAATAAGCTAGAGGAAAAATAGTAAAATCATCAAGAAAAAATAGTTTACAGTTTTATACCGTATTTATTGAAAACATCCACGTGTAAGTGAAGCCATGCAGTTCAAACCTATGTCGGGTCAACACAACAGCCTTTGTAATCTCATTGCGATTCTTTCGCTCACTTAGGCCACAAATCTTGGAGTCTCCTTTGATAACTTTTTCTTGCTCCAAACCTAAATCTAATTTGTCAGTAAATTTGTTTTGTCTTTATTTTCAAAATCAGACTCTTTATGTGACTAGTTCTCTCCAGTTCCACTGCTACCAGTGGTTTGAACTATTCATTTTTATATGAATTAGTGAGGTCACCTCTTCACTGGTCTGCCTGCGGCTGTGCATACGCTGTTCCCGAACCTCCAGTGGTGCCCCCTCTGCTTGGAGTAGAAGCTGAAGTTCTCAGTGACCTGCAAGGCCTTGGATGCCTGCCTTGTGATCCCTTCTTCAGACTTGGTGTTTCTTTTAATCTGGTCCTCTCTTACCCTGCCTCTTGAGGACACTAGGCACACTGCTGCCATGGACCCTTTGTGCCTGTGTTCTCAGCCTGAATCCGCTTTCCTTTATATTAGGGGTCTCTAAGTAAGCTTTTTCTGCGAAGGGCCAGATAATTAATTTAGGTTTTGAGGGCCGCGCGGAAGATGGTTTTAATTAACTCGGCCCTGCCGTGACGGCACAGAAGCAGCCATAGACGACACAAACACACACCGAGTGAGTGTAGCCGCATTCCAGTAAAACATAAAATCCGGAGGCGGACCAGATTTGGCTTGTTTACCAACTCGAGATGTGTTTGCCTCCTTACGGCTTTCAGGCCTTGTTTGGTTTTCACCTCAGCGCTGAGACTCCTACCCATCGTGTGCTCCCTTGACAAACTCTTCCCCCGATTTCATTTTTGGTACAGCACCAACCTTTACATGTGTGTGTCTCCTCCCTCCAGCCTAACACTGCCCCGTGGTACTTTTTGCAGTGATGGAATCGCCTCTGTCCACTATAGTAGCCGCTCGCCACGGGTGGCTATTGAGTACTTAAAGTGTGACTAATACAACTAAGGAACTGAATTGAGTTTCATTTCATTTCAGATGGCTGCATGTGGCTAGCAGCCTGAATATCCAGTTCTAAATTTTTTTTTTAAGGATTTTATTTAATTGACAGCGTGAGGGAGAACACAAGTAGGGAGAGTGGGAGAAGGAGAAGCAGGCTTCCAGCTGAGCAGGGAGCCCGATGGCGGGGCTCGATCCCAGGACTCCAGGATCATGACCTGAGCCGAAGGCAGTCGCTTAACCAGCTGAGCCACCCAGGTGCCCCAGAATATCCAGTTCTTGAAGGCATGTCCTTAACATTTGTATCCCCACTGTGTAGTTTAGAACAGCACCTGACATAGCGGGTACTCAGTCACTAACGAATGCGTGTGATATTATAGCTTTCCCACACTTACTTAAAAGCTGTATGAGACAATAAGCCTTTATAATAGTATTCAAATGGCTGCATTATATTGCAGCTAATAAATGATGGTGTAGGCGTTTATTTGAAATGAAGTTTTTGATAAATGGAAAACACACGTAAAATAATGCATATTGAGAATGGGGAGAAAAAAATGATATGTAGCGAAAAGCTAGAAGGTTCTGTCCTGAAAATGTTAGCCATCTTGGAAGACATGGGGCTGCTCGGGGGCTTAAGTTTTTTTTTTCCTTGCTTTACCTGTGTTTATAAAATACGACAAAGAGCCTTAAAATCCATTGATGTAGAAGACAAGGAAATTACTAAGATATGTAGTAGTTTATTTTTATTTGTCTTTTAGAATTAAATATATACGCAAGCATTTTTGTAAATAAATTCTTTACACGTGGCATGTTATGTAACCCACCAACCAGGTAAAGAAGTGATTATCCACATTTACCTATATGTAAACTGAGGGCTGAGGTAGTGCTGTTCTGAAAGACAGCCCCTGATGGACTGTCTCCCAGGTCCAGAAGATTCTTCTCCCACTTACAGTAAAGTGACTTCCAGAAAGAACTCATGTACATAGGTAATCGAAGTTGTACATGATAGAGAAGTTAGAAGACTACTCCAGAAAGATAAGAATATATTCACTTTCAGACATTTTCTCAGATAACTTTCCTTCTATTGTCCAGAGACTTGTGTAGGTATTGGTTTTTTTCGTGTAATTGTCAAGTGATCGGGAATGCGGGACTAGCTTACTAAAATGCCAGGCATTTGAGTAGTTTCTCTAAACTGTTATGAAATGTTAGTTACAGAGACCCCAGAACCAGCAATGACTAGCGGTGTGTATAGGCCTCCTGGAGCCAGGTTAACCACCACAAGGAAAACACCACAAGGACCACCAGAAATCTACAGTGATACACAATTCCCATCCCTGCAGTCCACTGCCAAGCATGTAGAAAGCCGGAAGTAAGTACTCTCAATTCTTGCCTTTTGTCTGGGAGCCCTGTCCCTTGGCCAGCAAGTGGGATGTAGGAGATAGGAAAACCCACCTGGGGTGGAGGGCAGGGGGTCTCCTTGGTAAAGCCCAGGCGGCAGCTGACAGGCAGCTGAAAATTAGGTGGGACTTATGTGCCTGGGGGTGGGAAGCGGGGAAAGAGCACCAAAGACAGACGTTGTCTACAAGAGTTGCTTTATTCCTGGTTGGTGTCGTTCTGTAGCTATGACATCTGTCTAGTTAAGTACATGTTCCTTATAGCATGGAAACTAGAAATGTAAGAGCAGTATTTCATTGTATTCCCTGTTGATGTGAATAGATGAAAGATGTTGGCAGTTATAAATCTAATATTAAAATCTTATTTCAGCAGGTACTTAAAATGAATGCTACCTGGAATTAAATGACCACATATGGCACTTCCACATCCTTTGTAGGGACATGAAATTTTTTTTTTTAAGTAAATAAAATGGGAAGAAATGTAAAGGACATCAGATGGAAATACTGTTGTGGGGGGTGGCTTTTAGAGTAAATTCCAGCCTTTTTGCCTCTTTGGGAGCCCAGCTTAAGCCTCCATTGGACTCGCTCCTCTGCTCTGTCCTACAGAATAAGGGGGTAGTGATCCCCACACTCACCTTGCTTTATCTCATCCCCTCTCATAAAGTAGACATAGACATGAGGAGAAATCACTGAATAAAGAGTAGAACCTGACTTGAATAAGAAAATTGTTGCCCTTATGCATAAAGAGATGTATTGTTTATTATTTGCTAAAAATAAAAGTGACTCTTAGAAGGAATCAGCGTGTCATCAGATAGCCTTTTGACTTTGCATTGTCTTCAAGTTGGTCCCAAAATAGGTTTGCAGTAAATAGTGTTCAAATAGATTTGCTGCCACAGAAAATAGGACCATGGAGCTTCAGTATTTGTGTTTTCTGATCCTTGGAAGCCCGGAAAATGATCTGATGATGATTTTATGGGCAGGTTTCCCCTGCTGTCGAAAGTCGAGCATTCCTATGAAACCCTTCCTAAGCCAGAAAGGCATAAAGCAAAGACGGTCCCCCGCTTTCTGAAAGGTTGCATTACGCCACTTCACTTTTACAGGAAGACCTATTTTCTTGAGCTAACTGAAAGAAATCTGAAGAGGATTTTCACCATTATGAAAAAAGCTGTCGCCACACTAACTTTTGTAAAAGCAAGTGGTGTACGCAAACTTTGGGAAAGCAGGATACCTGTACCGGTTTCCCCTCCTGTTACTCCTTCAGGATACTTCTAAGGGGTGGCTTTTTTTTTTTTGGAGGATCAACAACCTAGTGAAGAAGAAATATTTACTGATTACATTTCTTTTCCCTTAGGGATAAAGAAATGGAGAAGAGCTTTGAAGTAGTAAGACACAAAACTAGAGGTAGGGATGAGGTTTCAAAAAACCAGGCCCTTAAACTTCAGCTAGACAACCAGTATGCTGTGCTTGAAAATCAGAAAAGCAGCCACACACAGTACAATTAAGGAATGGTCTTTGCTAACCCTTCTAAGGTAACTAGACTGCAGCTAACCACCAGGAACAGCCATTCATCATCTGACCTCTGCTGGACCCACAGCCGATGCAGACCACTCAATCTAAGTGACCGGCCCTATGGTACTGTGGGGGTACAGGTGTCACGGCTGCTCTTTGTATATATTGGATTTAGGGGAATTCTCATTGTTCTCGAAGTGCGCGAACTAGATTCAGCAGTGTTCTTTCATTATTACTCTGCAAACACAAAACCAGAAACTGCAGCCAGTGGTCATTTCAAAATCTTTTTATGTTCAGATACTGAGCCTTCGTAAGGGCTGACTACCTCAGGTTTGCTGCACTCGTTGCGGACTTCATGTGGATCACAACTTCTGGACACGGAGGTTACAGCTAGTAAGTGTCGGTGTGAAGCTTGAGACCAGCTCTACTGGATTCCTATCAGAAATCCTGCAGAAAGTCAGCCATCTGGGTTCTGATCTGCTGTAAAAGATGAAGATTTAAGTGACCTTAATTAACCTGTCCTGTGCCCCACCCTTGGATACTCCGTAGTGGGCCGTGTTAGACTTCCTGGAACGTGCCGCTCTCAAAAACTCCTGTGTTCAGATAATCTCTGTAGGGTTGTGATTTTATTATTTAAACTTTGAGTTGTATTCTGAGGTAACCACAAATTAAATTCAGCCAAACTTGGGTCCACCAAGTGGGAAAGGGGGTAGGGGAGGGAGTAATCTTATTTCTTTTAGTAATTTTTTATTTGGGTAGTGCTTTTTCTGTGTTCCACACATTAAGGCCTTTTTTTTTCCTTCTTTTTGACTTGGAATAAGTTCTTTGACAGAGCATATTGCTTGGTTAAATAAGTGACCTGAAATATGCATTAGAATTGTGAGATGTCTCGTGAATTTGCCAAGCCCTAGAGTGGAACCAAATAGCCTTTGGTGTCAAGGGCAGTGGATGCGGGGGGCTCTTCTTCAGGTGCTGCTAAGCTTCCTCTAATCAGGTCTAAACTGTACAGTAAACTGCAGGGGAAAAGAGTATGGGTTCTGCTCAGGCCAAGGGATTCACTGACGGGTCCTTATCAATTCAGAGCAACATGAGCAGAACCTTAGCCTAAAACCCACGTAGGTTTTCACAGATCTTGCATGATCTTTGAGAAGATTTCCAGATCACTTGTGCCCAAATTTTTCAGGTATTGGACGTTCTATAGATGCAGTGATTGTGCCAGTTTAGCTCTGTTATCAACCTTCTGGTATGTCTTAATGTTCATTTGAAGAGTCAGGGGCGAAGACAGGTGATGTAGCACTTCTGTTTTTAATAATTACAGCTTAAACTATCCAGTAATTTTTGGTCCTTAAAGGGACTTCAGGAAGCTACCCGGGATTACTGAAAAGTCCATCTAATGAGATAGTCTGGTAATGTACTAGTTTTGTATCTTTGGTTCAATAGATCTATTTCAAAGTGGTATGTGACCACTTGACGCAGAGTCTGGGTTTCTCTCTAATAAATCCTTTTGCCAAATGCAGGAGTTGCAGACTTGCTACTGGCAAGAGTGAAGCAAGTGAGCGAGTAAAACTATCCTGGTGTAGGGGCATCTCCTACAGGAGTTCAGTCTTGATGAAAGTGTCAGTGCAGGAATCGGCTCCTGGGAGGTCACAGTATCTCCTGACAGGACCTGCCCACCACATCTGGGCCAGGATGTTGGCGTTTTTTGAGGTGGCAGGCAGGGTGCCTGCCTTCTGGTGTATTGGGGTGAGCAGCTGAGCCAGCCAAGGAGAGGTTGGATGATTAAGCAAGAAACAAGGGATTCTTGGTTAAACTGAAGACTTCATTTGGGAACCAAAAATCTTAACAAATAATCTCTTGGACCTTGAGCCACATATTTCCCCTGAAAAGTATGCATTTTTTTCCAGCAAAATTGTGTTGGGGGTTATGTTATTGAGGAATGAACTGAGATGAATATGTGGAACTTTTATTTAATGGCGTACTATACTAGAAATCTGAAGACCTGCAGGAGATTTAAAATTCCAACTCTTGTTATAACTTTTTAAAAGATTGTGAAATTATAAAAATGCACATGAATCAAGTTTTAATATACTGTATGATGGGTGGGTGAGGCTGTCCATTGTACCCATTTCTTTCTTTGAATTCTCAGGCATGGTTTGGCAGTGCAAGAACTCTGTAACATTAACAAATTCAATAAAAAGTAAATATATGGATTGTGCAGTCTGATTGTTTTTATTCATTCCCCCCCATAGTTTTTATTCTTAATCCTTCAAGTATCCTGTTTTTTGAAAATGGCTAATTGATGCCACGCCTCCGTCGCTGTAGAAGGATGGTACTCTTCATCTCAGGGGGTACCTTCTGTTGGAAGAATGCAGAGTACTCTGAATGTTAACAAAACAGCTGGAATGAAGGTGGCTGCAAATCTAGGATGAGTATTCTTTACCAAAGTTAAAAGCATTAAAATGTACTTTTTTTCTTTGTTAGTGTATTAAATTTGTCATAAACCATCGTGATGCTGTTTGATGGCTTTTTCAAAAAGATTTATTTCTTATAGAGTGCGCACACGTGTGCACCAGTGACAGGAGGGTTAGAGGGAGAGAATCTCAGACTCCCCACTGAGTGCGGAGCCTAACTCGGGACTTGATCTCATGACCCTGAGATCATGACCTAAGCGGAAACCAAAAAAAAAAATCAGACACTTAACCAACTAAGCCACCCAGGGGCACCTCTGTTTGATAACATTTTACCTGCAGCAGAACTTTCAGAATTGGAGTCAGTCCTCTCAAACCCTGCCACTGCTTTATCAGCTCAGTTTATGTGATATTCTCAGTCCTTTGTTGCCATTTTTTTTTTAAGGTTTTATTTGAGTGGGAGGGAGAGAGCTAGAGCGAGAGAGTGAGCACAGGAGCAAGGGGGGGGCAGAGGGAGAAGCAGGCTCCCCACTGAGCAGGGAGCCTGACTTGGCTGGATCCCAGGACCCAGAGATCTTGGACCTGAGCCACCCAGGTGCCCCCCTCTGTTACATTTCAATAATCTATGCATCTGGGGCGCCCGGGTGGCTCAGTTGGTTAAGCGACTGCCTTCGGCTCGGGTCATGATCCCGGAGTCCCGGGATCGAGTCCCACATCGGGCTCCCTGCTCAGCAGAGAGTCTGCTTCTCCTTCTCACCCTCCTCCCTCTCATGCTCTCTGTCTCTCATTCTCTCTCTCAAATAAATAAATAAAATCTT